CAATCCCTGAGTCGCTGAAGTCACCTAGGGTTAAGTCCATTAACACATCTATGATGAAGTTGAATAGAAAAGGAGATAATGGGCATCCTTGACGGACACCACTGGTCGTCATCAGTTCAGATGACAGCTCGCCGTAAGCCCTCACCTGGCTGTATGAGTACGAATAGAGTGCCTTAATCAGTGCAATATATTTTCTTGGAATTCCCTTTACAGCCAAGCATCTCCAGAGAACTTCCCGATCGACAGAGTCGAATGCTGCCTTTAGGTCAAGAAATATAATGACTGTTGGACGCCGGTAGGAATGCCTATGTTCTAGAATCTGTCGGAGGGTGAAGATATGATCAATACACCCTCTTCCTGGTCTAAAGCCTGCCTGGCTCTCTCGTGTTTGTGCTTCCCGAGCACCACTCAGTCTACGCATGATTATTGAGCCTAAGACTTTAGATACTATATTAGTCAAGCTAATCCCTCTGTGATTATCACAGGAAGACTTGTCTCCCTTCTTGTATATGGGGATAATCAGTGACTTACACCAACCCGATGGGACTTCTTCTGATTCCCAGACGCTGCCTAGTACCTCAGTTAATCCGGACAGTAAGCTGTCTCCACCGTACTTAAATACCTCTGGAGTCATTCCATCAGGTCCCGCTGCTTTGCCTAGTTTCAGATTGGTGACAGCTTTAGTAACCTCAGTTAGTGACGGAGGACCTGTGTTTATATCCCATTCAGGGAGGTGTTGGATGCTCGGAAGGTTGAGCGTGGCTGTGGGCAAATTAAACTGCTCCTCATAATGCTCTTTCCAACGATCCAGTCGTCTATCCTGTGAGCTAATTATAGTGCCATTTTTTTCCGAGATTGTCTCACTAATGATTTGTCTTCTCCCACCCGTTTCCCTGATGAGTCCAAAGAGTTGCCTGGTGTTGCCTATCCTCAAAGCTTTCTCCATCTCTTTGGCTTTTGTCGCCCACCACTGTTCACGGTCCTTGCGGAGACTTTTCGTAAGTTTCCTCTTGTGCAGCTTTCGCTCCTCATTGAATTCGGAGCTCGCCGGAATAAGTCTTCTAGCATCTATCAGTTCGGATGAGGCGGTGGAGATCCAGTGGTTTTTACTCACCTTTGGGTTTACCTTATTCACAGCTTTTACAGCTGTATCTATGGCTGCCTGGATATTTTTCCAAGCTTCTTCAGGGTGAGCACAGCTGTCGAACACAGATATGTGTTTAGCTAGTTCTTCCTGAAATACGGATTTAGTTTCCTGATCGAGCTGGGGACGTGATGGTTTTACCGCCAGCTGTTTCCTACGTCCGTTCAGTCGTAAGCACACCCGAGCGCGGACCAGTGCATGGTCGGTATCTACGCACGTGTTCCAGAAGGAGCGACAATCTCCTACCGACCCACGCCAACGATAGCTTATTGCTATGTGGTCTATTTGTGTCCAGCGTTGGTTTGATGAAGGGGGTCTCCAAGTCAAACAGTGTCTCTCCTTGTGTTTAAAGTTAGTGCTTACAAGAAACAAATGATTATCAGAGCAGAACTGTAGGAGACGGTCACCGTTGTCGGTTCGCTGGCACGGAGCTCCATAGGTGCCACCGACATCCTTCTCAGATTGACACAATTTCCCTACTTGAGCGTTAAAGTCACCAGCTAGAACGACTATGTCTGAGCGTTTAGCCTTTCCACCAAACTAGACAGCTTTTGGTAGAACTCATCCTTCGTTTCATCTGAACTGCAGTCAGTGGGGGCGTAGGCGGAGATTACGAAAAGGCATCGGCGAGTAGTGCAGTCCTTCCTCCTTCTTACTGATCCGTTCAGGCGGACAGCACACATTCGGCTATCTACCGGGATCCAGTCAAGCAATGTCTTTTCTGCCCTAGTACTCAAAGCTATCCCTACGCCAGCTAATCCTCGTGAACTAGCTGTGGCATCTCCTGACACCCTCAAGGTGAATTTTGCAGATTCAACCTGTTGGCCAGGTGGGGTTAGGTGAATAACCACACTTGGGTCTTGTATGCGTGTTTCTGAAACACAGCATACATCAATGGCTCGTGATGCCAGGGTCTTGGCTAGTGATGCTTGTTGTCCTATTTGGCAAAGTGTCCTAACATTAAGAGCTCCTATATGAAATTGGTGGCGCGGCTTTAAGAGGCTGTCGGTGGTGGTTTTTTGGCTTCCATCGTTTTTAGTGGACGCAGAGTGGAGAGGAAGTGGAGAGCTATCAAGTCGAGGAGTTGCATCAGTGGAAGGAAGGCAAGATGATAGAGATGAAGATGAAGACAAAGATGAGTGAGTAATAGAGAGGTTTCGTGTGCATTTCGGATTGTGAGGGCGATTGTTACTTCCCGGCTGCCCACACCGTGGAAGTTGGTTGCGTGACCGCAGAGCCCAGGGGACAACTGCTTGAGGCCGGTCACACGCGGCCTGTTTTTGTTCGTTCTTTTTTGTTTGGTGTGTCTCAGTAGCAGATTTATCACTCCCGCCCTGTGACACGGCAGCAGGAAGCGCGGTCGTTGTTAATCCGGGCCACGGCCGATCCGGCATGAAATTTTGTAATTTTGTATTGGACATGATGTTGGATTGGGTAGCTGCTTTTTGTTTAACCGCTATCCAAACAACCTGCCTGGCATGGTAGAACCTCAAGAGACATAAGTCTCAGCCAGTATAGCTTGAATAGATCATTGCGGTGTTCAAGCCCGACCACCACGTCAAGGTAGCAGCTTTCGGTCGGGTACTACTTGCTTTTAGGTCATCATAGGTGATGTTGTCGATTAGTCCTACTTTAATCAGTTGCTTCAGGTGCCTGTTTACTTTGTTTTCGAAGGCTGTTGTTGCGTTATTTTTTGACCCTACCACTTGGAATCCCATTGTATCACTGAGAAGCGTTGTTATTTTGAAGATGTAGTCTCGTCGGCCCATTGCCAGAATCCTTGTCTGGTTTAAGAACAACGATGTTATCACTGTTATGCAGGTTTTTTTTTAACGCTAATCTGTGTTCCTTAATAAACATTTTTCACTGTGCAGGAAGAGAGAGAAATGTGATGCCGCTCTGTGATATCAGCTGTTCTGGACTTAAACCAAACATTTTCGTTCTCGTCTATAGGTTTCAAATCTAAACATTGTTCACTAAGTCCAGAACCTCCTGTCAACTAACATCATGTAAAATTTGCATGGTTAAAACTTTTCTGTACATAAACTTATTATTAATTTATTTAAGGTGTGAGCAGATGATGAGAAGCTGAAAAAGTAAACAATGATGGTAACATATTATTCTCCGAAAACCACTGTTGTTCTCCCTCTATTCAAATCCATAAAGGGGAATACATGTATGAAGTCTCCGATTAATATTAGCTGCTGTCTTGCTTCGCAGGCTGTGCAAAACATGTGAAGAGTTTATTGGCAAATAGAGGAGGTTGGAATTCGTTCAGGCCGTGAATGCATTTATCATGTGTTCAGGCTTCTTCAGTTGTTGGAACACTGCCACACGTATTGTAGGTTGAAATTCTCTGTGTTTCATGACGTTAAGGCTACCTTCGATTCGTCGGACAGAATTGTGCTTTGGAAATGTCTTTTTGAGAGGGATGTACCTGAAAAGTTTGTGAACATTCTGAAACGCTTATATAGAAACACTTCAAGTAGAGTGAGGGCATAACACCAGCTATAATTACTGTTCCCAACGAACAGTGGGGTTAGATAGAGTTGCTCAATCTCCCCAGTTCTCTTTAACTTTGCGATTGATGACATTCTGGAGTCAGCTCTGAAGGACGTGCTTGTTTTTGGTCGGGTAGATCTGCTCCCTGGAGATAGAGAGTTTTCCATCTCTAATACACAGACAATGTGGTCTCACAGTGCGATAGCATGCAGGTTGCCTAAATCGCACTTATTCAGTTGGCAATCAGTGTTTGTAAGTATGATATGTGTTTGCGCCATCTAAGTGCTAGGTGCTGTTGCAAGATCGGCAGGAGAACGCATCCACCTGAACTCACTCTCTCCGGTGAACCGCCTGAAGTTTCCGATAAGTTTGTGTATCTGGTTAGTTGTCTGAGTACTGGCGGAGGTGTGACGGATTAGATTTTCTAACCGTATCATGAAAGCTAGTATGACATAAGTCAACCTCTAGCGCCGTCGTAACGTCAGCCTGGCTGTCAAAGATCAGGTATAGACTGCTTCAGTGCGGGTTGTCATGCTCTACGCCTGTGAAACCTGGCCTCTCTGAGCTGAGGATGTGCGGTGCCTCTGCGTATTCGATCATCGCTGTCTCCATAAAGTGGCTTGCGTTAGATGGCATCCTCGTGTGAGTAACTCTGAAGTCTGGCAGTGTGCATTTGGATACAGTGGAGATCACCATTCGTTCATTGAGTATTGTCATCTGGAAACACCGGTTTTGGTGGTTTGGATATATGCTACGAATTTTTATCCCAGAGGCTTCCGTTTAGGCCTCTGTTCGCTAAGACCGGATGGAAAAAGTGAAGAGGTCGTCAGTCTATGACGTGCTGTCGTAGGATGAACGATATTTGTGGTAGATTAGCATTAGTTGGTATATCACAACTCCCTGGTGATGAATGAAGCCCCTTTCATTCATCCTCTGTTTTTTTCATATGTTGTTTAATTATTACTTTGTGAAGCATCATCTTAGCAACTCAGTTGTACCAAGTTTTATATTTTAAATAAGTAGAAATACACCATCAATAATTTTTGAAGGAAGTCCAAATCTCACCGACATTTGTTATTATATAATGATTTGGATGTTGCTAGGAGAGATGTAGTCAGTTGTAAAGTCCAATTGAATATTTTTAAGATTGAAAGGCTTTAGGTTCAACTTTGTGCCACATTATTCCGTAGTGTTAAGAAGTCTCCGATTGTGTGATAGAGATGTGTTATTAAGTATTCGATTATGTAGCTTGAAGCCCCATGTTCCACTGAGAACTTAAAGCAATAAAAACAAAAAGACAAAACAAAACAATTTCATTTCTATTTTTATTGATTTTATGCCTTTTAAAATTTAGGCAGGTAAAGATAATAGTCAACTTGGTTCTGGTGGAGCAGATTGTTTAGTTATGCTATGGGATGTTGCTACAGGACAATCAATCCGCCGATGGCGTCGACATGCTGGACGTGTGAATTCTGTTCTATTCATTTCACCATTTTATAATACTGATGCTCTGGATCCTAGTCCAATTTTATTATCAACTGGTGTTGATGGAATGGTTCTAGTTTGGGATGCTAGAGCACGGACACCTTATCCAGTCCAGGTGAGTAATTTAATTGAAATTTTATTCAGTTGTCGATGTGCAGGGATTTGAATGGTAACAGAATTTCATCGTGAGCTGACATTGGTTGGAGAACAATCGGAAAAGCAGTAGGGAGTGCTGGACAGCTGTTTAGCCCCACGTTGGCACTCCTCAGGGCCCACCGTTCGAACCTAGGGCCGTTAGGTTACGAGACGAGCTCGTAAACCATTAAGCCCCTTGGACCCAATCCAGTGGGTCCAGCCCATGAATTTTAACTTCTGTCAATTCACAATATGTAACCACTAGCCAATGTTATCTCTGGCAAGTATTTGTCCCCACATCAGACCTATTGTACCGCCATGATCACGAATTCTAGCTAGAACCCAGGTAAATACCCACCTGAATGGGGTCAATCGTGCTAGTAGGGTACAGCGAGTTGGGTGTGACAATAAATACTCGTCAGCGATGACATTGGCTGGTGGCCGCGTCATACCATGAATTGGCAGAAGTTGGAATTCATGAGCTGGCCACTGGATCGGGTCCCAGTGGCTTAATGCTCTACAAGCTCACCTCGTAACCGGAAGATCCTAAATTTGAACCCTGGAGGTGGGTGTGTACTAGTGTAAAGTCCCGGTCTAAGACAAAACAACTGCACAGTACTCCCTACTGGTTGCCCAATGGTTCTCCAACCGGTATCAGCTCATGATGAAATGAACATTTATCGTACATCTTCAAATGAGTTCCTTCATGGTGGATACAGAAATGTTGTTTTGTATCAATTTATTTATCAATAATTTACGAAATACCTTGCAATGACTGTGAGTTAGGTCAACTACATAGGTCAAACTAGTAGATCTGGGATAGCCAGACTGTCGGAACATAAGAATTTAGTTTAGGTTAGAATGGTTGACCCAGAGAAGATAAGTAATATAGAAAAAAAACTCAGCTATTGCACTACATGCATTAACACATAACCACACAGTAGGGTGGGATAATGTTAAAATTCTAAGAAGTAATCTAGGTAGGTGGAGAGAGAGGTTGATTATTGAATCCTACCTTGTTCATTGAGTCTACACCCAACACGTGCAACAGGAATGACTCAATGCAAATACCAGAAATATGGAAGCTTTTATTACCACCAGTCAGTCAAATCAGAGGAGGATAATAAATAATATCAAAATTCTTTTTCAGTTGAGGCACATCACATTATTCTAACAAGTAACTTATTATGACTATAAAAACACTCGTCTCATTTCCCATCTGACTGTATTTGATCAATAACACTCATATTATTATTATTTCTGAATGTACATTATCCCATATTGATTTTTATTCAAATATCTCGTCAATTCCACACATGTATATAAATGAAGGAAAGAAGTTGTGTGAGTAATTTGATATGATTATGAGTGGCAATAATTTGTGCTCCAAACGTCATCAGTAATTATTACTGTATAACAACACTGTGATTTATCAAAATAAAATCTTATCCATAATAGAGTTATACTCTACCACCACAGTGCCCACGTTTTATACTTATATCAATGTTGTTTTGTACACTAATTCAGAACTAAAGACTATATGGTTAATTGTTTAGTAGTGAAGCTATCTAGGATAACGTTTAAATAACCAAGCCGCAGATTATTGGCCTAGATGCCACTGTTTCGAATGCTAACTGTAACTTGGATTTTCCATTCACCTTGTATACATTTATACTCTTTTTGACCATATTAAAAGTCGTCTAGGTCAGTGGATAATAAATTGTTCTTATTGGTTGGCGATTGGTCCATGATAAACGCTGAGACGAGATGTTGTCCAATGAGATTATTTCCAGACCACGTCGTAAACTAGTTCCAGATTTGCAAAATAAACACTTCTACCTCTGCGGTGGGCTATTATATGGTGGCTTTTATCCCTCTCTTGAATTGACACCACCTACTTTATCCAGTGGGTTTTAAGACATTTCACTATAAATAGGTCAAAATGTATCGGCATGATTTCGCGAAAATCCAAAACAAGATTTTCTGATAAAGTTACAGCAAATGTAACTCACAGTTCGAGAATATATAATGCCACCGGTTATATGTACTCCAGAAAGAAGAAATCTTTTTAATGGAATATATGTGTAAAACTTGAGCACTATGGTAGTAAGTAATTCCTTTTTACACTACAATCTTACATTGGGACAGGATATAGATAGATTTTTCGAACACATTACCTCGATGCTAGAGGAATTCAATTCGCTTATGAATTGGAGAGTTAGAAATAGGAGCTTACAATCTTAGATTATAGCATAAAAAGGAAAGAAGATGGGAAGTTAAACACACTGGTGTGTGTTTACAGGAAACCCACACATTCAAACAGATATTTGGATTTCCGATCATCCCATCCTATGTCAGTAAAAATAGGATTGGTGAAATGTTTAAGTAACAGAGCACAAAAACTAAATAGTACCAAGGAAAATCTAAGACAGGAAGTGATACACATAAAAGAAGCCTTGAAACTTAATAATTACCCGGATAAATTAGTCAGGAAATATATAAGAAAATGTAAAAATAAATAAATAGTGATAGTAATAATAATAATAACAATAACAATAGTAATGATAGTGATAATAATAATATTAATGACGACACCAACAATAAGGAATCTGAATCATCAGTAGTAATTCCATACAAGGAAGGAACCTCGGAATCCACGTTACGCAGAATTCTTAACAAGGCAGGCAGGAATAAAAGTGGCTGGCATTCAAACCACCCACAAAGTCCATTAGAAACAAGCTCTGTCGGTTAAAGGATCCTATGGAGCCCTTAAATCAAAACAATTTAGTTTATCTAATACCCTGCCTCAATGATTGTCCGATAAAATGCATAGCTCATAGTAATAGAGCAGTGTCAGTAAAACTAGCCGAGTATAAAAACCAAGAAGCAAAATCTAGATTAGTTGAGCCGAATAAGATAAGAAATCTAGAGAATAGTTCAGTAGCTATCGCAAGCACTACATGCAATTACACACAACCATACAATAGGCTGGATGGGGTGGAAAGATGACAGTTTTAAAATCTAATGCCACAGCAGGATGGAGGGAGAGATTGATAACAGAAGCTTTACTTATCGAATCAACTGGTAGAGAATATGTGTAATAGGAATGATTCAACACCTGTCCATCCAGATATCTGGAAAATTCTACCACCCCAACAACGAAAAATAGGAGGGAACAAAGAAGACTATAAAACTCAAGTTTCAAAGTCGTGTGATTATCATTGATATAATTATGAACAGTGATAAATTGTGTTCGAAACTGTGTCATCCAGTAAATAATAATAATACTGTTTTCACACTGTGTGGGTGTGATATATCTAATAAGCAAACTAATATGGAATTTTTTTTAATGGAAAACCTCAACTGAAAAGCATACATTATATATAACTTGTCATTAAATCACTATAGCAACGAATTACGACGCCACAATTAACTGGGATATGCAATAAAGTCCTTCATCTGCAGTCATGATTGACTTAAAATGTTGAGATTTCAATTTCTGACCTCTTCCTGTGAGTCTGTATCTGCAGGCTACAATCAATATCGCTGATCTCTCTCTCTCTCTATGCTTATTGACCAAATAGTGAATTATGTTGACACTTGGAATTAGTGAGCAAGTCATACATACTGTAGTGGTGTGATGCAGATAACAATGTATGCCAACGGAATAATTATTCTCACATATTGCCACATTTCAATTCGGCATTAGCAACACAATAAAATATATATCTATTTGAACATTCTATTTGTTGCTAGAGTGTGAATATTATTCCCACGGTTTAATACTGCATTGACTACAGAATACTATGCACATTTGGACATTCTATTTTTTTGTCGTTCGATGTAAACCGAAATCACAAGTTGAGTGATTGGTTAACGAATATATAAACTGTAGATATGCATAAACAACACGGTTTGATTAGTGAAAAATATACGTTGGCTTCGGTGTCTTGCCTTCTTCTGTTGTTACATTTGGTGTCGCAGCATGCCGACAAATGGAAAGCCTATGCCCTGCAGTTTCTGGTAGAAGAGACATATGGACTTTTGGGCAGGATTTCGAGACTGTTGCCCAGTTAAGTGGCGTTCAAAACCGGTCAACAATGAGGCTGTTACTTGGAAAGCTGCTGAGAGATCGGGCGAAGGTGGTAGTAGTATATGATAGTGTGAGGTGAAACACCAGTGAGTGCACACCAAGGGCACGCAAACTGCTTCCAAAAAAAAGGGAAGGAACATACGTGTCACCGTGACGACGAAGTCACGTATGTGTACGGTCAGAAATGCAAACAAAGCGAAGCGGCTGAACGTCAGCGGGCTCCGGAATTGGATACAGCAAAAGATCAGCTAACAAAGCCATCAGCACTAAGAAGACCAATCTGACTTCAATCGAAAGTATTTGGTGGGGGTGGGGGGTGGGGGGGATAAGTGTAGTGAAGTGATACAGACAATGTGTGTTCCAACGGAATGTTATTCTCACATATTCCCATAGTCCAATTTGGCATTAGAAACAGAATACAATATATCTATTTGAACAGTCTATTTGATGTTAGAGTCGGAATGTTATTCCCACAGTACAGTACTGCATTAGCAACAGAATACTATATGTGTATTAGAACATTCTATCTCGTATCGTTTGATGTAAACTGAAATCACACCCACCTCAGTGATGGATTTACGAATATAAACTGTAGATATACATAAACAGTGGTTTGATTAGCGAAAAATATACTTTGGCCTCCGTGTCTCGCCTTCTATTGTTACAATACTTATCGCCTTACGGAAATCCATATACCTTTCATGAATTAAATGTCTATCGTCGTAGTTAAGCTGTAACTTGACCTAACTGTTATGTACTCGTCGCTAAATTATTATTATGTACTGGTCGAGAATTTAATAGTCCTGACGCAAGAAAGACGGAGATCAGAAGACCACTAGGTTTGCGATGATACTTCTATTTTCCAAAACACCAGGAGAATGCAAAAGTGGTATCACACCAAAAGTAAGTAAGTCACACAAGATTGTGTGAGCGAAATATATATGACCGTCCAGACAAGTGTGTGACAAATCAATGGACAGTCTTAACATGAATGGCTAATTATAATGAAGTATCGATCCATATATATATAGCAAAATATAGCAGACATGTCAACAACCACACATAATATGGATGTATGTCACCAAGCGACGGACTGTCAACAAACACTCATATTATATTATGTATAATATAAGGGGAATATACATTGTTAAAGGAGACAGGTTCATCAAAGTGAAATGGTCACAGAATAAGAGAGCAACAGAAAGAGAGACCACCATACATATATATATATATATATATATATATATATATATATATATATATATATATATATATATATATATATATATATATATATATATATATGGATACATATCACTAACTAACCGTCTCATCTTAAGTATTTTCTTATTGGACTTTCTTCTATGAGTAGTAGGATGAATCGCTTTTTTTCTGGGAGGGTGGGGGGGGGGTTGTTTTTGTTTGATATGGAACAATAGACGACTATCCTAACTCTTACTATGGATCTCAATGGCAGCAGTAACCACTTATGGTCTGGTGATGGTGGTGGTGGTGACTGAGAGATATTGGTCTATATATCTATCTATCTATATTTAGCATGTGAAAAAAGATTGATAAATGGTAGTATATTTCTAATCTTATTCGCGTATGAGTCACAACAGACTTTTTTGTCATTTATACTATCATATGCACAGTATTTTGGCTGATGCATTATTCATCTCAGTATGTGTGTGTGTGTGTGTGTAAGTAGGATCTTTGATATTATATTAATTGGGATTGATGTTCACATGTTTATATCTTAATCTACCTTGTTGCAGTCAATGTGATAGAGTAGTCGGTATTGTGTAAGCCCCATGTGAGACATGTAGCTGAGTCATTCGAAGGTCATATGATCATGGGGTGAACTAGTATTTGGACACACATGTGTTCCTATGTATATATATATATATATATATATAAACTATTGCGAAGTGGTCGCGCTATGTCATGAATTGGCAGAAGTTAGAATTCATGGTCTATTGGGTCAGGTTCTAGTGACTTAGTGGTCTGCAAGTTCGCCTTGTAACCAGAAGGTCCTGGGTTCAAACCCTGGTGGGCGCGCATACCGGTGAAGAATCCCAAACTAGGACGGAACAACTGTCCAGTACTCCCAGCTGGTTTTCAATGGTTCTCTAACTGATGTCAGCTCATTATGGAATCCTCCAAACAATAAATATACATATTTCAAGTTTGATCACGGATTGATATCAGCTAGAGTCATCGAGAGCCAGCAAGGAGTACTGCACAGCTTGCTGTCATGAGTGTAGAGTGTCAATTTCCTTTCAAGAGTTTTGTACTTATCTGGAGTTAAGTTTAACAGGATTGCATCATGTGCTGACATCGATTCGGAAACCATTGGAAAAGCAGTAGGGAGTATTGGATGGCTATCTGTTTCGTCCCAGTGCTTGAGACTCTTCAACAGTACACACCCACTGAGGTTTAGAGTTAGGACATTCCGATTGACAGAAGTTGGCATTCATGGACTGTGGCCATTGAATCACACCTTAGTGGCTTTCATGGTCTATTAGCTTGCCTCGTAAGTAGAAGGCCCTGACGGTGGGTGTGTACTGATGAAGAGTCCCAGTGTGGTGCGAAATGGCTATCCAGTACTCCATACTGCCTTTCTGATTGTTTTCCGACTGATATCAACTTACAATGAAATCCTGTCACCATTCATATCCCTACAAACTAACCCCGAAATACTAAGGTTACCAGTTAGAGTAGGATTGGGAGTGTTATATGTGGGATTAGACTAACGTGGAATCATCCCACTATCCAGTCAAAAAGTTTTAATATGCAATATGTCAACAAACCTATGGGTTATTTTACAGTTTTTTATTTGAACTGTTTGGTCAAGATCATTTGGTTAGTGGTGGTTATGGTTTATCTTCATCCATCTGTGGGGTATTATATCATTTTTAATAGTTTTCAAACGCCTATTAGTAGGCAGGTAGTTTTATCCTTGTTACTTAGCTAGTGGTAGTTAATAGTGCTGGACTCCAGGACGAGAGTTCTTCCTTACTTGGGACTCTTCAGCTGGATGGATCGATGGGATGGTATTTGTATTCCAGTGTGTGCTGTCATCATCTTAACTGAGACTACAATTCAGCACCAATCGTTAGAAAAAAAATGAAGTTATCTTTATTTCTTTTCAAGTTACCTTAATTTTTTTATAGACGATGCATGAAGCTCGTGACAGTGTCACTTGTTGTGCATTTCGACGGAATCAAATTGTTACTGGTTCTGTTGATCGATGTGTTCGAACATATGATATCCGTAGAGGTTAGTTAATTTTTTAATATCTTATTAGTGTACTATTATTATTATTATTATCGTCTCCTTTAGTTCCTAGAAGAACATGAGGCTTCAGCCGCGCGTCTCCATTGCGTTCGGTTGACCTGGCTCCACGTCTGCCCACATGCTTTCATCTCCTTTTCTCATGACCTCCCCCATGTAACCCTCACATGGAAGACCAAATCGCTGCTTCCCATTCGGGTTCCTTTCGAGCAATGACCTGTAGTGTGATGTCACTCACTTGGTGGTTTGTTTTCTCAGAGTATGGTCAATCCACCTCCATTTCTTCCTGCATATTTGTTACTGATCTTTTCTGACCGACCATCTTATCTTGAGTAGTATTCAGTGAAGACAGCTAGCTGTTGATGAAGGTATGTAGTTTGTTCGAAGTACCCTTCGTGACACGGCGCGGCACCAAGTCTCTGATCCGTATAGTAAGTAGCACTGACTTTACATTGTAGTTGAAAATTCGGATCTTATTGTTCGTGCTAACCGCAGACTTGAGAGTAATTTCACCATCGGCCACACACTAAACTCGTCGTTTACCATTCGGGTTCCAGTCAAGAGATGGCCTGACGTGTGATGTCCTCCGACGCTCTTCTCACACCATGTGTTCAATCCATCTCCATTTTCTTCGGAATATTCCTTGAGCAATAGGTTCTTGGTTGGTTCGATTCCAGAGTTTCATGTTGCTAATCCTTACTCGTTGTCTATGTAATCTTCAGTATGGAATCGGAGAAGATGGCTGTTGATAAGAGTCTATTGTGGTTTCCCGAGGACTCCAACCAGTTAGCCAGCGAGTGTAAACCTCCCTATGGGGTTGACTTAAACTGACTGTTATGGATTTCATTGACTGATGAAGTTACGTTTTGGTTTGACCACCGTCACCATCAATAGCTCTTTTCCAACTTGATCCATCCTATATCAGTTAGCTAACAATGCCTGTTGTCAAGGTTGGCGATCGATGGCTAGGGGTGCATGCGTCATATCTGTTTTCCTAACCATCTCAATCGGTGGAATTTCAGAATGTTGTCGATTGATTACCCCTCTTTACCCAGCTACTCGATCGAAGCCTAACTAATTCCAAATTAGTCACCCTCTTATTGCACACATAACATAGACACCTATGATCGAATACAACTAGCCGGCCTTTCCGTATCTTCCACTTTCAATGGCCATGTCTCACAGACAACCCCATAAAGGAGGACAGAACAAACTGTTCAGCAGTATAGACGTCCTTTTGTCGATAACCAGACGGATATCGCGTCTACTAAGCCAGAGATGACGTAAGTTGTAGCGGTAGGCCAAATGAGCCTTGTGAATTTGTGCTGAGATTTCGTCAGAGATCAACCTGTTGAGGCTGGCTGATGCAACTCCCCAAATCACCCTCCACCAGGTTACTTCAAATTGCGATTGTTGTTAATAATGCATGGGAAATGTTTGAGTCACCTTCCTAAAAAAGTACGATTATGAGAATTGTTTGCAGTTGTTTGAGCTTTGGTATTTGACAGTGGATGTTTCGCATAAATCAGGCTGGTTGTACGGTTGGGGAGACTTCTTGGTGTATTTGATAATATGAAAACACCGTGATCAATCAAATGATCAAAGCTCTCTGGAGAACACTAAATAGTATTCACCATCCTAATACACAGAGATACTGTGGTGAGAGCTGTCTGCTAGCCGAATTGGTAGACAGCAGTTTACGTCAATGTTTACGTCTCATATCTTGGTCATGAGAAAAGAACAAGAACAAAACTAACTCAACAACCAATCACAGAGGACTTTGCGTGGGCGGATAAGATTCGCAGATATACGGTCTGACCTTCAAAGAAACGGCCACAAAGCGATGACAGAATAACTTCCAGTGATAAAACGACCAATCATAAGACGCTGTTTCTCTGCTAATAGTAACGAATAATAATGAACATAAAAATACATTAATATCTGTTGATTTTCTCAGTAAACGATCTGTTGCCTGACCCTTGTCTCTTCTGTTGTTACAATACTAATCGATTTTTTTGTTATTTTCCAACTGACTTTTTATAAAAGGTGAAATGATTGAAGACTATATAGGCTATCCAATTACATCAGTATCAATTACGCTGGATAGTCAATGTTTTCTTGTCGGTACACAAGATTCAACTTTACGTCTATTTGATGCGTTAACTGGTGAACTGTTGAATAGATACACAGGACATACCAATCAGACATACAGGTAAGAATTAATCTGTTTAATTCAATTTGAAATGTCACACTGCAGGCTGTTCAGCTTTTCAAGTATTGTTTTTATAGGGGTTTAGTTTGATTGGATGAAGGATTTCATCATGAGCTGACATCAGTTAGAGAACCATTGGAAAACCCACAGCGAGGAGTACTGGACAACTGTTTCGTCAGCTTAGTTTGGGACTCTTCAACAGTACGCACCCACCACTGGGGGGGGGTGAACCCAGGACTTTCTGGTTACAAGGTGAGCTCATAGGCCATTGAGCTACTGGGACCCGATCCAATGGACCATGAATTCTAAATTCTGCTAATTCACGACATAGTGCAACCATTTCTCAATGTCTTCTTCGATGATTTACTGCCTCGTCTTCTGTTATGTTGCTGCTGCTGAGTGGTTAATAGTGGTTTTCCCCGTCGCCAAATTGTTATGTACTCGTCGCCAAATTATTGCTATGTACTGGTCGAGAATTTAATAGTCCTGACGCAAGAAAGACGGAGATCAGAAGACCACTGGGTTTGCGATGATACTTCTATTTTCCAAAACACCAGGAGAATGCAAAAGTGGTATCACACCAAAAGTAAGTAAGTCACACAAGATTGTGTGAGCGAAATATATATGACCGTCCAGACAAGTGTGTGACAAATCAATGGACAGTCTTAACATGAATGGCTAATTATAATGAAGTATCGATCCATATATATATATAGCAAAATATAGCAGACATGTCAACAACCACACATATAATATGGATATATGCCACCAAGCAACGGACTGTCAACAAACACACATATTATATATAATATAAGGGGAATATACATTGTTAGAGGAGACAGGTTCATCAAAGTGAAATGATCACAGACTAAGCGAGCAAACAGAAAGAGAGACCACCATATATATATGATATGTATCCACATATATATATATTTATGTGTGTGTGTGCATGTTGGTCTCTCTTTCTGTTTGCTCGGTTAGTCTGTGACCACTTCACTTGTATGGACTTGTCTCCTTTAATAATGTGTATTCTCCTTATATTATATTATATATAATATGAGTGTTTGTTGACAGTCCGTTGCTTGGTGACATATATCCATATATGTTTGTTGGCATGTCTGCTATATTCGCTATGTATAATTGGATCGACACTCCATTATAATTAGCCATTCATGTTAAGACTGTCTAATGATTTTTCCCACGCTTGTCTGAATTATTTATATATATTCGCATTCACAATTTGTGTGAATTACTTTACTTTACTTACTTACCACTTGGTGTGAGACCATTTATTTTCGTCTCCTTGTGTTTGGACAATAGAAGTATCATCGCAAACCTAGTGGTCTTCTGATTTCCGCCTTCTCGCGTCAGGACTATTAGTTTCTCGACCAGTCCATAATAATAATTCAGCGACGAGTACATAACAATTTGGCGACGGGAAAAAACCTACTATTAACCACACAGCAGCAGCAACATAACAATTTACTATGGATCCTATTAAATTGGAATTATTGTTTGAACGACAAATGAAATTAATGGAAATGTTCGTCAACCAACAGACTGGTCCAGCTCCACCTTCAAGCAATCCCAATCATACCATGCTACCATCTGTCGACGGAATTGTGAACAGCATTTCACAGTTCAATTATGACCCAGAGGCTAATGTCACTTTTGACACATGGTATCAACATTATGAGGATTTATTCACTGTTGATCTCGCCTCACAAGACGATGCCTGGAAGGTGCGAGTGTTGTTACGTAAATTGGGTCCGGCAGAATATGAACGGTACTGCAACCTAATTTTACCACAGAAACCACGTGACAATTGTTTCGATGATACAATAAAGCTGCTGCGTGAACATTTTGTAGACCACTCCTCATTATTCAGCATACGTTATCGTGGCCTCAAGCTGGCAATGAATGAAAATGATGATTTTCTTACTCACGTTGGCACAGTCAACCGAGAATGTGAGAGATTTCGACTCAGGTCCTTAACAGATTATCAGTTCAAAGCCTTGATTCTCATATGCAGTCTTCAATCTCCTCGTTTCACAGATATCCGAACTCGACTGCTCAATCAGCTAGAACAAAATCCTAAGTTAACTCTACATGACATAGCTGATGAATATCAACGGTTGATTAATCTGCAGAAAGACACACACCTGGTCGAATCAACACCTTCCAGAAGCTCTGATATTCGTGCATTACGAAAGAGCAAAAATCTCTCATCATCTACTCCTGACCCACCTACTTCTTCTAATGTTCCGCGGAAATCTATACATACTCGTCCAACCTCACGAAATACGACAAAGAAGACCCCTCCATCACCATGCTGGCATTGTGGCGCGTGGCACTTTGTAAAGTCTTGTCCATACAAAAATCATCGTTGCAGCAAGTGCAAGATCATCGGTCACAAAAATGGTTTTTGTCAGCCACGCAAGCCCAGATGTCAAAATCCAGCAAAAGCTCAACAAAATGTTGGTCCTAAATCCCCCAAAAAGTCATTGAGTCTACGCGCAACCCGTCAAGTCACAACACCAGCTATGCGGAAATATATTGATCTTCAGATGAATGGTCATGATGCACATCTGCAGTTAGATACCGCCTCTGATACTACTGTTATATCAGAGAAACTTTGGAATTATATTGGCAGACCACCTATCACCAATACTTCCCAGTCTCTTGTCAGCGCCTGTGGTGGGCGCCTCAAACTAATTGGTGAACTGAAATGTTCCGTTTCCTTCCGCAATACCAAATTCACAGGAATTTGCTACGTCACCAAGGGTGATTTAAATCTTTTGGGACTTGATTGGTTCGATCGTTTGCATCTGGCTGATGTCCCACTAAATTCGCTATGCAATGCAGCCAAGAAGCATAAAACGTTAGACAATTCCGGACGGAGCCGAAGCCGCAAACCCAACAATCAGACGAAACGACAGGCGTCAACAACAAGCCCAAAGGTCCCAGATAAACCCCCAGGTAAACATCCTACTAATCATTCATCTTCTCAAAAGGGGAGGTGATATGTATCCACATATATATATATTTATGTGTGTGTGCATGTTGGTCTCTCTTTCTGTTTGCTCGGTTAGTCTGTGACCACTTCACTTGTATGGACTTGTCTCCTTTAATAATGTGTATTCTCCTTATATTATATTATATATAATATGAGTGTTTGTTGACAGTCCGTTGCTTGGTGACATATATCCATATATGTTTGTTGGCATGTCTGCTATATTCGCTATGTATAATTGGATCGACACTCCATTATAATTAGCCATTCATGTTAAGACTGTCTAATGATTTTTCCCACGCTTGTCTGAATTATTTATATATATTCGCATTCACAATTTGTGTGAATTACTTTACTTTACTTACTTACCACTTTGGTGTGAGACCATTTATTTTCGTCTCCTTGTGTTTGGACAATAGAAGTATCATCGCAAACCTAGTGGTCTTCTGATTTCCGCCTTCTCGCGTCAGGACTATTAGTTTCTCGACCAGTCCATAATAATAATTCAGCGACGAGTACATAACAATTTGGCGACGGGAAAAAACTACTATTAACCACACAGCAGCAGCAACATAACAATTTACTATGGATCCTATTAAATTGGAATTATTGTTTGAACGACAAATGAAATTAATGGAAATGTTCGTCAACCAACAGACTGGTCCAGCTCCACCTTCAAGCAATCCCAATCATACCATGCTACCATCTGTCGACGGAATTGTGAACAGCATTTCACAGTTCAATTATGACCCAGAGGCTAATGTCACTTTTGACACATGGTATCAACATTATGAGGATTTATTCACTGTTGATCTCGCCTCACAAGACGATGCCTGGAAGGTGCGAGTGTTGTTACGTAAATTGGGTCCGGCAGAATATGAACGGTACTGCAACCTAATTTTACCACAGAAACCACGTGACAATTGTTTCGATGATACAATAAAGCTGCTGCGTGAACATTTTGTAGACCACTCCTCATTATTCAGCATACGTTATCGTGGCCTCAAGCTGGCAATGAATGAAAATGATGATTTTCTTACTCACGTTGGCACAGTCAACCGAGAATGTGAGAGATTTCGACTCAGGTCCTTAACAGATTATCAGTTCAAAGCCTTGATTCTCATATGCAGTCTTCAATCTCCTCGTTTCACAGATATCCGAACTCGACTGCTCAATCAGCTAGAACAAAATCCTAAGTTAACTCTACATGACATAGCTGATGAATATCAACGGTTGATTAATCTGCAGAAAGACACACACCTGGTCGAATCAACACCTTCCAGAAGCTCTGATATTCGTGCATTACGAAAGAGCAAAAATCTCTCATCATCTACTCCTGACCCACCTACTTCTTCTAATGTTCCGCGGAAATCTATACATACTCGTCCAACCTCACGAAATACGACAAAGAAGACCCCTCCATCACCATGCTGGCATTGTGGCGCGTGGCACTTTGTAAAGTCTTGTCCATACAAAAATCATCGTTGCAGCAAGTGCAAGATCATCGGTCACAAAAATGGTTTTTGTCAGCCACGCAAGCCCAGATGTCAAAATCCAGCAAAAGCTCAACAAAATGTTGGTCCTAAATCCCCCAAAAAGTCATTGAGTCTACGCGCAACCCGTCAAGTCACAACACCAGCTATGCGGAAATATATTGATCTTCAGATGAATGGTCATGATGCACATCTGCAGTTAGATACCGCCTCTGATACTACTGTTATATCAGAGAAACTTTGGAATTATATTGGCAGACCACCTATCACCAATACTTCCCAGTCTCTTGTCAGCGCCTGTGGTGGGCGCCTCAAACTAATTGGTGAACTGAAATGTTCCGTTTCCTTCCGCAATACCAAATTCACAGGAATTTGCTACGTCACCAAGGGTGATTTAAATCTTTTGGGACTTGATTGGTTCGATCGTTTGCATCTGGCTGATGTCCCACTAAATTCGCTATGCAATGCAGCCAAGAAGCATAAAACGTTAGACAATTCCGGACGGAGCCGAAGCCGCAAACCCAACAATCAGACGAAACGACAGGCGTCAACAACAAGCCCAAAGGTCCCAGATAAACCCCCAGGTAAACATCCTACTAATCATTCATCTTCTCAAAAGGGGAGGTGATATGTATCCACATATATATATATTTATGTGTGTGTGTGCATGTTGGTCTCTCTTTCTGTTTGCTCGGTTAGTCTGTGACCACTTCACTTGTATGGACTTGTCTCCTTTAATAATGTGTATTCTCCTTATATTATATTATATATAATATGAGTGTTTGTTGACAGTCCGTTGCTTGGTGACATATATCCATATATGTTTGTTGGCATGTCTGCTATATTCGCTATGTATAATTGGATCGACACTCCATTATAATTAGCCATTCATGTTAAGACTGTCTAATGATTTTTCCCACGCTTGTCTGAATTATTTATATATATTCGCATTCACAATTTGTGTGAATTACTTTACTTTACTTACTTACCACTTGGTGTGAGACCATTTATTTTCGTCTCCTTGTGTTTGGACAATAGAAGTATCATCGCAAACCTAGTGGTCTTCTGATTTCCGCCTTCTCGCGTCAGGACTATTAGTTTCTCGACCAGTCCATAATAATAATTCAGCGACGAGTACATAACAATATATATATATATATATATATATATATATATATATATATATGGATAGATATCATCTTCAATCACGGTGTGTGCGTACTGATGAACAGTCCCAAACTCGGACGAAAAAGCTGTCCAGTACTTCCAGGTATTCCAGTGGTTCTCTAATCAATGTCAGCTCATCATGAAATCCTCCATGTAATCAAACAAAATTGCTACAAAACCAATACTTGAAAATGGTGAGTTTTCCTTTAATGAGAAAATCCGTGATCAAATCCCTTGCCTTCTATCGTTATAATGTCATTAATTTCATGATCAATCTTGAAAATAACATTTTTGTTGTTGTTGTTTTTTTCTAACTTTGAACATGAATACAAATCAGTCAATGATTGGAATTTGTCCATATTTATTGATCTCAACGAAATGAAATGTTTTATTCCCCCCTCCCTTAATTTTTGTGTATTCCATTTTGTTTTATTGCTTTTTTTTTGTAGAATGGATAGTACACTCATGAATTTAGATCATCATATCGTGAGTGGATCAGAAAATGATGGTCTTGTCTTCATATGGGATTTTATACAATCCAGTATACCAATTCATAAATTGGATCATCAACCTGGCAGTCAAATATGGGGTGTTCTATATCCACACAATTCAGAACCAGTTGCTGAGTTGATCATTGAGACTGCGAAATCTGTCAACTTTATGATTCATTCAGTATCTGCACATCCAAGACAAAGTAAACTGCTTACCTCAGGTGGTGATTTTGTTTGGCTATGGGATGCTGAACCGAAGGATGTTGAAAAAGAATGATGTACATAGAAATGAATGAATTATTGAAAATAATTTCTAGTTTTAATTTGTACCAGATAAAATGTTTAAAAAAAAATTGTGTATGCACCTAATGGGAATGTTTTGTTGTTGTAATATAGATTTTGTCACGAACCGACATTAATTAGAGATCATTGAGAAATAGAAAGCACTGAAACAGCTGTCTCGGCCCAGTTTGCGCCTCTTCATCAGCACAAACCCAGCTAACATTTCCCATCGAGGAAGACAATCGCTGGCTAGCCATGCGTACGTAACACATGTCTTAACCATCCCAATCGATGTAACTTCACACCCTCATTGATCGTTCTTTCATTCTTACCTAGCACTCGACCGAAGCCTCACCTCAATAATACTCACCTTATTATACCATCCAACATGGGAGATAGAAGACAGACAGACACCTATGATCAAAGACGACTGCACGGGCTTTTCATGTCTTCCACTTTCAATGGCCATATCTCACTCACATCCATAAATGAGGACAGGGTGAACTGCTGAGCAATGTATACCACACGTCCTTTAGTCGCTAATCAGCCATCCGGATATCATGTCTACTAAGCCATAGATGGCGTAAGTTGCCAGGCGAATGTCTAATAAGCCTTCTGCATCCATAATGAGATTTTATCAGTGACCAACGTGCTAGAGCTGGCTGATGCAACTACTCAAGTTAGTGAAGTGGTAAACACGCTCCACCAACCACTTCATTCCAGCCTATCTCTGAGGTAGGAATGAGTTCATGTTATCCAGTCCTGTAGCATCATCTTAAATTTGACAGTAACCCTCGTATCGTATACCAAACATTTGAAGATTTCTCCTTAAACTGTTCAGAAGCATCTGAATTTTGTTAGCGCCTTTATATGGTTGGGAGGACTATATCATATGCATATTCTAAGTCAACGAGATTATTCCCAGGTGGTAACAAGTCAATCAATGATTCAAAGTCTAGGTAAATTATGTTCGAATAATCTAGTCGACCCTGATCTATTAGTTTGACCTATATAATTGACCTCACTCGCATGGTACTTGGTAAATTATATTATTTTTTCTAAATTGGATCTATTTGGTGCTTAAACCAAGAAAGTCTATCTCTGAGAGAGTTGGCTGTTTGGTTGGTTTAGATACTTCTCGAATTCCAGTCTCATTGAGAATCCTTACTAATGCACCTGAAGTTCCTTCATTATATAACTGTCTGTCTGGATTCAACATAGAACTTGGCACCAAGTGCACCAGTACGAGTTGCCACGTTCCAAATAGAACACAGAGGTAGACAGGAAGATGAGTGAGGAGAATCAATACAGTGTGACAAGTATAAGAGTGAAACAGAATGGGTAATGGTAGAAAGGAATGTGAAAGATTACAGAGACTGAATACATCTGCGCTGGCCATTGACAACGATCACTTTGAGCCATGTCACCTATTGTCTCCAGCCATTGATTCCTAGAGTCCCGAGGGCCCCAACCCGGAAGTCTGCATCTCCCTCCCCACCTGACTCAGTTTAACTGTCAAGGATTTCATGGATTGATGAGGCCATGTTTTTGTTTGGCCACCACTTACTCTTTTCCAACCTGCACCTATATCAGCTAGTAATGCCCGTTGTCGGGGGAGGCGATGGTTAGGCATGCGCAGTACGTGATCTAGCCATATCAATCTATGTAACTTTATAGCCTCGTCGATTGATTTTCCCTCTTCGCCCAATGCTCTACGCCTAACGTCAACATTACTACTTACCTTATTATACCACCTAACGTGAGAAAGAGATCGTAGACATCTATGATCAAAAGCAGTCAACCTTTTCATGTCTTCAACTCGTATTGGCTATGTTTCAGAGCCATAGACAAGGACGGAGCGAACTGATGAGCAGTACACACGTCCCTTGGTTGATAGCCGGATGTCACGCCTACGCCAGAGATGGTGTAAGTCAGCGAAAGCAGCTCGAGCTTTTTGGATCCGTGCTGAGATTTCTCATTATCTAACAGTAATACAGAGGCTTTCAATTCTCCACTACTTTCGTCATTTTTATTACTAATATTATAGTGAGAGCTGGCTCTTAATCAAAATTGGTGGACAGTAATTTACGTCAATGTTTATGTCCCCAATATTTGCCGTGAGAAAAATGAGAACAAAGGCTTTGCGTAGGTGGATACAGTTAACAACATATAGATGATCTGACATTCAAGAAACACCCACAAAGAGATGCAAGGTTAACGTTCAATGAGAAACAACCATCAATCAAAAGACTGACTGTGTTTTTCAGCTTACAATAATCTATAATAATGTACATGAAAATCTATAAATATGTGTTGATTTCCTTAATAAACGATCTGTTGCCTGGCTGACCCTTGTCTTCTATTGTTACACTATTATTTTTTCTAAGGTTCTTCACATATTACATTTAGAACTTCAATGAACTAAATTAACCCGTCTCTACTCTGTTTATTTATTTTTTATTTACAGCTTGATTCCACACTGAATTTTTGGTACAAGTATGGAATTTTCAGCGTGGATATCGGTAGCCCAATTTTGCAGGCCGAACATAGATATCAGGTGTGCGCCGGCGTGGACTCGAACTCCGGACCATGTGCATGGTCGGCGAGAGTTCTAACCACTGTGCCACCGACGTATCTGTGTCTGCTAATTATTATAACAGTAAAGAAATCGACTGGTATGCTAATATGCCTCTGTTTGTCCGTTGTACCTTCCGAATCACTGAGACACGCAAATGTCTAAAGACAAAGGCTGGCTGGCCTGTGTAACTGGAAGACATTGCATTGTACATCCATTAGGAAACAACACATGATATTTATACATTTTCTTTACGATAACAAAGTCGGCTGTCAGTCATGGGAATAAATTGTCCTTATAGGTTGGTAATAGCTATTCTCATTAGTTGTGTGTCCGACATAGACCAAAGTGAGATAAAGGATGATGAATTGATCACACACACACAAAATCACAATACGCGTGAGAAATGATACATTCATGTAGTATCTCCATAACAAGATAAATTACACGATTCGTGAGAAAGGATAATCTGCTATTCCGTACTGGATACTATATATTTCTGAATAAATTCTCGTTGGTAGTCAGTTATTCACTAGAAATGCTTCCTTTATTCGTTTGATTTCATTTTTTAATTCTTTTGATTTACCGATCATCCCAAAATAGGCTGGGACAGAGTGAGAGTATTATAAAGGAATATAATAATAATAATAATGATTTACTTTATTCCAAAAGCAGTTCTTGTGTTGCAGAATGGAATTTTCAGCATTAATCACAATATTGCATCTAACTTCCCCAAATTATAAATAAAATTAATCACACAGAAAATTTTCCACATTTACGATACAGGTAGTGTGAAAAACATGCAGCACATAAAATGGAAATAGCAATAATAATGATAACAGCTAGGGTAATAATAATAATACAAGTGAAAATTACCGTGGGCTTGTTTCACACAGTATTGTCGGTGTATGCGGTATGGAAATCCTAGCATGTTTAAAAATATTGAATATAATGTTCTCCTTAAATGATATGGTGAGGGGAAAAACAAAGATTACAGCAGTCATGGAGATAAGTTAGTGTCTGCAATTATGAAAGTAAAACAAAGAAGCAACAGGATCATAAATATAATAGAAGTAATAAAAGTAAAACTTGAAGGTATATAAGGATGGATGGATGGAGGAAATTGTTTATTTACTAGATGAAAAAAGGTTAGTTAATTCTTGCCTGACACTATTTTCATTATCACATAAAATACGTTCCAAGTATGGTATCATAGAAGTTTTATACTTAGACATGTGATCATACAGTTTTCTGAAGTTACTCTTTGTTCTACCTGAGGAGATGCAAAGTGAGAGCTGAGGGTAAAGCGGATGCTCCAAGTCAGGCAAAATCCATTTAGTAAATTTATTGCATGAAGTCAAGTGTCTATCGACAACGACGTTGGAGAGAGAAAGAGAGAGAGGTTGATCACTAAAGCCCTCTTTTATCGATTCAACACCTCACCACACGTACAATCGGAATGACGCGGCGCAACGCGTATACCGGAGATATGGGAAATGGCAACAAACAACAAGAGGAAGTTAGAGAGACAGTATAGAAAGAAAATATACGTATAAGACAAGTTGTGAAACCGTGTGACTAAAATTGATGTGGATATAAGTGGTAATAATTTAAGCTCGAAACCTTGTCATTCAGTTGTTAATACTGCATCATTCACTATATGCTTTTTAAATTAAACTTATCTAATTTGGAATTACATTCTGCTACTACAGTTCCCAAGTTCTACACTTATATTAATTTTTATCTGGCTGCTCATTTTAGTTAGACACGGTAAATTCATAGAGCATATAAACGGTATATATATATATATTCGTTAACTAGTGAATTAATGTATATCACACAAAACCCAAATAACTACTGGAAAATCCCATTCATTTTGACAATAATAATAATAATTTGCTTTATTCCAAAACAGTACTTATGATACAGAATGGAATTCTCTGCATTTCACTACAGTATTGCATCCAGTTAGTACATTATCAATGAATAAAATTCTACATAGATTATAGGTAATCTCAGTTCGTTTTTGGCAATGACATATTAGCATGTCGGTAGCAAAGTCAAAGTGAACAGAATGTTTGAAGGTGTTAGAAATGTAGACACTAGCATATTTACTGGCGTAAGCGGTAAAAAAAGGTTGAGATATACAGAGTCTGTAAGGAAGAAAGAAACAAAGCAGCACATAACAGAGAAAAAAGAAAGAGATAGAAAAGGAAAAGAAAGAAAGAAAACGTTGTAGCTATAAACGGTATGAGTTGGAAAGACGAGATCCAGTTATTCTACTGACTATTTATTAAGTTATAGGTATCACGCCTAATGCTTTCTTTATCACACAGAACACGAGCCAAGTAGCTAGGGTATGGTTGAGTTTTTGTACTTGCTAGTGCCATACTGTTTAACATGAATCTATCACCCACTAA